AAGCTGTGCAGGCAAATGGACAGCAGGGCCAGTTGGCCCGAACCAGGCCCTGCCCGGGGCCACGCCAACCCCCATTTTCTGTGCCCCCTCTTCAATATGTCATTCAGAGAGGTGCCGATTGGCTCAGCCCTGGCCTGGGGTGGGTCCAGCCACCAGTTTCCACTGCTGGGGAAACTTCCAGCAGTTTCTCACAGGAGCTAGGTTGGTGGTACTCCTTCCCCCCACCTAAAACCTTGGGGCTGGGGGTGGGGGTGAACTCTCAGCAGTCACTTACAGGAGCCACCACTGCAGCCCCTCCCTTGCTGCCAGAGCAGACTTGGAGCTGGGGGAACTCTTGGCAGTTAGTTACAGGGGCTGCCACTGCAACCTCTCCCTTGCTGCCAGCAGACTTGGAGTCAGGGGAAACTTTTAGCAGCTACTTACAGGAGCCATTACTATGGCCTCTCCTACTAACAAACAGGCCCACCACACAAAACCACACCTTCTAATCAGTGCTGTGATTCAAATATTTTCTCCAAGTCATTATTTAGATCCCTCAAAACTATTTATAATTGTGTATAAAGAAGCTGGAAATAAAGTTTTATTAATTAAAGTTTTTGGAAGTACAGAGAATAGTGCATATCTTGATCTGTTTGTATATTGCACAATATTTAAAATTATTCATTACTGAAAATATGAGAAGGTGATTATTTACTGAAAAAGGGGGCCAAATCATGAACAAATATTAACCCTTTATTAACACATCTAGCTATCACAGGGACCTTAAATTGCATATGAAATAGCCAAACCCATGCATTGCAGGGTGTGTCCTGGTTTTGGCTGGGGCAGAGTTAACTTTCTTCACAGTAGGTAGTAAAAGGCTATGTTTCAGATTTGTGCTGAGGAGAAGGCTGACAACATACTGATGTTTATAGTTGGTGCCAGGACAGTCAAGGACTTTTCAGCATCTCTGCTGTGCCAGGGTCTGCAAGTGCAGGAGAAGCCAGGAGGGAGCACAGCCCAAATTATTAGCCCGGGATTTGACTTGAGAATTGAGACACAGATTGACCAATGATATATTCCATATCATGTGTGTAATGTCCAGTATGTAGATAAGGCTTGATCTGGAAGTGCTCACTCTTCTGCTCTGGGTCATCTCGCTCTGGGTCTTGTCTCTCTGGGTCACCTCTCTCACAGGGTTGTCTTACTCCCTTGGTCAGCTCTCAGTCTCGGATACTTGGGCTCTTATCTCCATTCTGAGATTGCGGTTTCAGGACTCTGTGCTCTGGGACCATTAGCTGGAAATAGGCTGGGCCTTGGTTATCAGGTGGTGAGCAGTGTCACTGTGTATCACTCATTTGTATATTTCTGTATATTACTATTATTATTATCATTGTTATTTTCAATATTATTGTAGTTTAGTTATTAAATTGTTCTTATCTCAACCCATGAGTCTCTTTTCCCTTTACCCCTTTAATTCTCTCCCCTATCCTGGGGGCAGGATGGGGTGAGCGAGCGGTTGTTGTGGTCATTTGCTAGTCAGGGGGGTAAAACCATGACGGGGTGGTCAGGAAAGCAGCAATAGGGTTTTTCTCCAGCCCTTGGTGAAGCTGTTCTCGGTTCATCTTTGCTTGATGTAGTGGAACTCTGACCATGTATTGACCCCCAATAGATCCCCTTGTTCCCAGACTAGTGTGAAGCAAGAAGGCTGTTCCAAAATAGAGAGCCCTAAGAAGTCTTGTTTTTAAAATTAAGCTGACAGTCCTAAGATACTGCAAGTCAAAAGAATAATGAAATATAAATCATGCATCTAGAAAAATTTCACCCATTATGCTCTTTTTAGTTCTTTATAACCAGCCTTTTTCTTAAAATCCTAAGAATAATCTATCTTTAATAGATATTGAAAGCAAACACGACCCAGAGTTCAGAGATTAAGTTCTAAAGCTCTGTTTGTTTTCTGACACATGCAGACACTTTACTCGGTGAGGACAGGAGCCCGGGGTAAGGTGACACTGAATCAGTGTTTTTGCCTTTTTTTTTTATCATGTAGTTCCTAACGTCAGGCTGTGTTAACAGAAACATGGCAGGTGATTGTGGTTGTGATTAAACAGTGTCTGTATTCAGACTAACACTCAATTCAGCAGAATTAATCTTTGCTCAGAAACTGTCAATTTAGTTGTACAGAGCTTTAAAACTACAAATGAAAGACATTTAATGCTAAAACACTCATCTGTATGACCATTTTTAAGTAATTAGCTTTATTTCTTAGGCAATATCCGATTGCACAGGCTCTTTTGTTTTTTTTAAATGTTGGATGCTACTTGTAAATCAGGATTCTGACTTTCTGGAACAAGCCCCTGCTTGGCCTCTCTTTTTGAATAGATGTGTCTGTTTCTAGACAGTCTCTTTCCTTAGTGTGTCTTATGGTTAAAAAATCAGCATGTTGATGTGTAGCTGTAGAAGTTAAGAATCCTAAAGACAGCCCAGGCTTCTTATGTGAAGGTAGTATAGAAAAACAGTGGAAGATTCATTCACAAACTTAAAAACCAGATGCAAGTAAAATCATGAAGCATGACTGGACTTTAATACTACTGTCACCTAAGCTGTAAAATTTATTTTCAAAAATGTGTTAAAGCATAGCATGAAAAGCTATCTAATTCTTTTTTTAAATGACTCCAAGTGATGTTTCCACAGCGTTCTCTTACAACGTTTGTAATATCTAATGATCTTTGCAGTTTAGTTAGCATCTCATTTCAAGGTTCAGTATCTCCAGTTTGAAATCTGAAGTGCCATGTTTTGTGTTCCTCCTTCAGCATTTTAAATCAGTTATACTTCTGGAAATGACAGTCTTAGAGCTAAATACTGCATTTAACATTGTGGGGCTGCTGTGAAGACAACTAAGTCAAGATTACTTTTCCCTGTGATGTTAATTTAATCTCTTAAATTTCCCATTATTGTATTAATTCATTTGTTGTACTGTGGTGCTGAACTCCTGCTGACGTGATTATCTACGAAAAAATGCTGAAGTGATTACCTACGAAAAAAAACCAGCCCCAACTCCTTCTGAACTGTTCCTTTTTTAAGCCAGTTTGTCATTCTGCAAACGTTAAACTTGATTTCTTGGTTTTTGGATGCAGGAAGGAAGGTATATAAACTTTGAGTAGGAACATAACTGTATTCTCGGGTCATTGATCTCTCCCTGTAACAGTAGCTTCTCCCATTGCTTTTGCGTGCGCCAGATCCTTGTCACTTGAAAAACACTTCCCAGAAAATCACCATCTAGGTTTTTCAAAATACTAAATGCTGCTTGACCAAGAGTATGCAGTTACTCCGTCATTAGCATGACTCACCTGATATTTCATTGATGAGCTTACTGCATGGATTGTGACTTGACAAAAACACTACAAATGTACGGGGACACCCACTGAAGTTATTCTGCCTGTTTGTGGTACAGAATCCTGTTGCAGTACTAATTAATCTCTGAGGATTCTGTGTGCTCAGGGACCACCTGCCCCTGTGAAAGGTATCTCACATGTGGAGCACTAAGAGTATTTCTATTTCTTTATTAAATTCATTCTTTTTTATAGGATCAACATCTAGCTGACTGTTGCTTCTGACATCTGGCTGGTTTAGTACTTCCAGTTCTTTGGCATTTGTTTAGCTTTCCATCAATAAAAGCACAAAAGTGACTACTTCTAGCCCGCAGTATGTGTATATTTTGGTTTAAGAAAACTTAGTTTTAAGTTAGTAGTCTAATAATTTTTCAGATTATTTATTCTAGCACTTTGATTATTTTTTTTGTCCCCCCTTGGTCCACAGAATTAATGGCATGAACTCTTCCATACAACCAGTAAATCATCTGGTTTTGCTTATTGTTTTGATGGTACTATGACCAATTTAAAGCTTGTGAGGTTGTGTCTGAGCACCTGTCTGCATTGCTTGTCTACTCACAAATACCCAGCAACATTTGCATGCAAAGGGGAAATCTGGTGATTTACCTCTACTGTATTCTATGTAGTGCAATCCATCACTATAGTTTCTTTAATATTGCTTTAGCAAAAATGTTTTATGGGGAGTACATACTCATTAATATTTTAAATACATATCTTGATAATTTCTGCTTGTGATTAATTAAAATGAAGGATTTCCTTAATAATTTTTAGATCATTACATTTATTTATTTTGAAAAATTACAGTGTTCAAATTTGGGGAGGGAAAGATCATAGAGGAACGTCCCTATATAACAACTATGTGGCTACATGATATCTCCTAATAACAAGCAGACTTTGGGGAAAATGGGTGATGGAACAGAGTTCTAGTGTACATAATGTATGGTAAAGATTCAAAGTGGTTATACTTACTTTAAGTAAGACTAGTTGATGTGCCCTCTACATATTTCATATTTTCAGCAGGCTCTTAATATCAAAATGTCTGGGATGAGAGCTTTCTTTAGCTGGGAGATGTCAGATATTTGGTTTGGGATTCAGCTGTCTACATGGTGCTATGGTGCCACCATCACTGAAACGTACTAGCTCTGTGCAAGACAACTATTCTACTGGATTAGCAGTTGGAAGCCAAGGAGAATAATCTGTAGCACTTGAACACTAGTGGTTGGTGTCATTTTAGGTAACAGAGTTACTCTCCTTAGGGTATGTTTCAGTTTGAAATTGATACTCAAATTTTCATGCTTACATTTAGGTGTCTGCAGGTGAGATGGGCATCAAAACTCATGTTATAGCTGGGGAGCATCTGGTCAATACAGTCAGCAGAGCCTGTAGATCTTGTGTCGCATCTGCCTGTCTTGTGCAGATGTCTTTTTTCCTAAGGTCCTTCAAATGGGGCCTGTGTGTGAGTGCCTTAAATCAAGCTCAGGCTGCCATCAGCATTCCTGACAAGATCTCCTTGACTAGAATGGAAGCTTTGACAGAGTCTGCAGTGTTACATGTACACATGTAGCTACTTCTGTGTGTCTTAACCTGAAATTTAATAATTCCCTTGCATGCCATTTTCCTTCCAGCACCAATGTAAAAATTTCCGCACTGAAGATCTTTCTTTTTTAATGAATTAGGGCTCAGTTAGCAAGCAATCCAACTGCTTTCTTCACATTTGGATGTAGTTCAGTGCAACCCATAAAAACCTCTTTTATTTTCCTTCACTCAGGCTGTTGCCTTTAAAAATCCCCAAAGAAAATCTGTCAGAGTATGTGTGTAATTTTTCTGTTGGTTTAACCAGAACAAATAACATCCACCACCTAACATTAGTCAAGAGTCATGCTCTATGAAAGCTTCTTGCCTGAACTGAGTGCTCTGGCAATCCTAAGCTATTAATCATGGGATATTAGTCAAGCTATATTTACATTCTAATCCTGCTTTATGTTTGAGATTTATACTGATGAAACAAGCCAGATTTTGGTGGGGTTTGTGTGTGCATCTACTTGGAGTACTATTTCAGCAGTAGTAGATTCCAAATCTATTCAAAACCCATGTAACGGTCTAGAATTTGTTTGGTTATGAAGTATTCAAAGAGATTCAAACCCTTAGTCGTGAATGTTTTTGTGACCTTTAAACTGGTACTGTTAGGTTCATGCTTGGTGTGGTGTTATGACCAGTTATATTATCTTGGAATGTACATAAGGAATTATACTGGTACCAGCTCTGAAAGAGAAAAAGAAAAACTAACACAATATTTTACTGTTCGTAGTTGGTACTCCACTGGCATGTCTGAGAAAGAGGGATGATTTGACAGTTGGTAAACACTGTTGGTGGCTTCCCCAGCCTCCCGTTTCAGAACCTCAGAATTAATTTCAGACTTCACATCTAATTTTATCCCTCCCTTGCTAGTTAACAAATAGAAATGAAAATAAGTTGTATAAAATTGCCCAACAGATAAATCAGCTTTTAATTGACTGCAGAAGAGCATAGGGAGATAAGCCTCCTGAGCTAAAATGTAGCTTGCATGAATTCACCTCTTCTTCTCGCACCTGTGGTGTACGAGTGCTTTGAAGCTTGGTTTACATCAAGACAAATATGACTAAGGTAATTCTGGCAGCAGAATGCTGCTGAACATTGATCTTGAACAAATGAGCAAGTTTGGATGAAGTGTTAGGCTTGTCCATTCAGTAGTCAAAGTTCAGAACAGATCTTTTAGTGGCTATCTTTAGTGACTATTTTTATTTGTTTTTCTTTCAACAGTAGTGAGAATTTTCTGCCTAAATGAAATTCGTGAGTGTAGGAGGCAAAATGAAACTGAAAAAAATGGCAGTAAAGCATAGCTTCAGTATCTGAACTCTACTTAATATTTTCTGCTATAAAACTCTAAATGTGGTACGATAACAGCCTCTGTCTACTTTGTCTGTTAAGATACTGAGAGAAATTGGAGTCCCATTTCCTCTGTAACAGCATATACGTGTAACGGTACACTTGCACCATCTTGAACTTCACCCTTGTAGAGAGAGATCTCTTTAGTCACACTGTTTCTTTTGTTCTGCAGTTCTGTTATATTTATGTTCTCCTTAATTGGCTCCTGGAGCTGCCTTTGTCCACTGTGGCCTGCTTCTGAATAGCGTTTACTTGATAGAAATGAGTTGGAGGGCAAAGGATTTTCGTTGCTCCTATTGATAACTGTATATACCCTGGCTGTTTTAAAAGTGAGAGAGCCAAAAGTGGATTTTAAATAGTGATAGCTCATTCCTCCATTTTTAGTTTTCTATTTCAATTTGATTCGACCTCAGAAATTAAGTACTCTGTATCTGAGCTGCTCTACATCTAATGTATCAGTAGCAAATTTGAGAACATGTATGTGTACGTGTAATGTAATCCTGAGATTTTTCATGTGAATTAACCTATTTCCCTTCTCTAACTGCTATGTATTTATTATTTACATAGTGAAAATCTTTGTATGGAGAGAAATTCTACTAATTGGGGGCAAAAAAGGTTACAATTTAAATAATAATATTTGTATCCTTATATTTACTTTGTTCCATGAGATAGGAGGGGGCAGGCCCAAGGAAAATAATGCTTTTATTTGGAGGACCATGCCAATAATACTTGTTTGGAAAAGATATGAATTAATCTCTAGGTTTTTTATTTTTCAGGATCAACAGATTGCATATGCTATTCAACTGTTGGCATTTCTGATCCAGTAACATCAGCTCTTCATATTATTGTAGGTGGGTGGTCACAGTTCACTGTTTTGTTATGAAAATAGACAAAAGTAGTAATTCCATTTAGTTTTTTTCTGTCTGTTTGTCAAATGTAATTTGAACTTAATGGCTGAGTTGGAATAGGAAGGTTTTTTGTTTGGGATTTAAGAGGCTGATTTGACATACAGGAGGTTAAAAATTAATTGTTTTCTCTGCTGTAATTCATTGTTTTGAAGGGATCATAACATTTTAAAATTTTATATCTGGCGCTTAAGGTTTCTGGCATTCTGGCATGCTTTTGAAAATAGCAGTAAAATACAATAGGCAATGCCAGTTGTTGGACGATATATGTGTTTCTTCCTTTCTTAGAGAAAGCTATGACAAGTGCACATACACTTGAATAGTAGTGTTTTGTACTAGTTGCCCAATTGTCCTGTGCAATTCAATGCTTCTGTGCCAAGTTAGAAGTATGGCTTCTGCTTGATGAGAATTAGCTCATAATTCCCCATTTTTATGATCTGTAAGTCATATTTGAGGAGGAACTAGGGAGGAAAACAACTAACCTTCAATAAATGGTTTTTGATATGTTGTCATCAGAAGGGATGCTGACATTGCCACTTCTCAAAGTCCTCTAGTAATGGAGTCCTTGAACTGCACGGGGTCTGAAGGAGACAGCTTGGCATGTTCAGTGCGTTGTGATTTGTGATGTCCATCCTGTCTGCCATATATTGAAGAATCACAGCTGTCCAGTTGTTAATACTGAATTTGAAAAATTGTATATGATCGTCTTCAGTTATAATAATGTTGCGTAAGCATAAAAGATAGAATTGCCAAGTGACAGTTATTTCATTATCACTTCTTATTGAGTGCTTAACAGTTGCAGTTTTAGGAGCTGGTGTTGCAAAGGTTTACAGATGAGCTTCTCTGTTACTAACTATGGTTAAATGTGTTCAGCATGTGTAGAGTTTAGGCCAGTGGACTAGGATTAGAGAGCGATATGGATTTAATATAGTATTTTAGCTGGATTATTAAATGTGCATATATACACATGCTTTAGGATTTTTAAGAGTGTTTCTCACTTACGTAAAATGTTCTTCACAGTAGTCCATGGTAGAAGGATGAGACACAATGGGCATAAAGGGAAACAGAAGAAAAAAGAAAACAAAAAAAAAAAACCAAAAAAAAAAAACCAAAAAAAGGAACAGACAAAAAAACAACACGTCTGCCCTAAATGCCCCAAAACACACTACCACTCCAAAGGTTACACTATGAGGACATCAGAGAGGTGGTGTGCTCTCTGTTCTTGCAGATTTTCAAGATTTGACTGGATAAGCCCTTAGTAACTTGATCTGACCTAATAGCTGAACATACTTTGAGTGGGAGGTCTGATGAGAAACCTTCTAAGGCCCCTTCCAGCTTGAATTATCCTCTGATAGTAAAACATATAGGATTAAGTAGTATCTGGTAGATGTACAGATACTGCATTGATCTCTTCTATAACATCCCCCCCTACTGCTACAAGGTAAATGAGTGTAAATTCTTCATGATGTATTTTTTAGCATACCAATCTTTCTTCTCACATAGTGTCTAGTGCTCTTTAAACATTAAATGAAGTTACATTAAAATATTTTTCCCTTTCTGCATGAATAAGAAATATATATGGAGATGACATGTATATATTAGGACATAAATACAAATATTTTTTATTTTTATAAAATCTGTAATGTTAAAGTTACTATCATGTTTGCAGGTGCAAACAAAATAAGCTTTAGTAGAACCTTGCACTTCTGATCTTTGTAGGTGACTGTCAGCCTCTGGATGTCTCTTCTGTACATCATAACAACACATTTTTGAAGTACTCTGTATCGTTGCTGGGTTACGGTTTTTATGGAGATATTCTAAAAGACAGTGAAAAGAAGCGGTGGATGGGTCCGATGAGATATGACTACTCAGGTAACTTGTGTAATTATTACGTTCTTTTGTCAGCATGTAAACATATTGGAGCAGTTGATGTGCTCTCTCCAAACCAAGCTTCTCAGAAGGTTTTAAAAGCAGACTCAACCTGATTTTAAACTCCCTGTGGTACCTAGTGTGCTGGATCACATTATGTAAAGCTCCATAACTTGGAGGATAACTAACAGTGTGCTTATTGAAGTTGTGTCGAGTTTGACTACACATCACAGTTAATAAATTAACTGATAGTTAATATTTTAAGTATTTAAGGAGCTCTATAAAGGACTAAAAAGTTTTTCTTGAACTTTTGTAATGTTGGAAGTAACCCTAATTCTAATTTGTTGAATAGTCTTTTTTATTAGTAACATTCTAGTGCTGTGCTGTATTGTTAATAGCAATGTGTTGCTATATGTCACCTAGTGACAGATGCCTAAAAAGTAATCTCTTTTCTGTGCTAATAATTTTTACTTTGTTTTCAATCAGTTAGAGAGAGATAAACAGCCCTCTGTCTTGGACATTTGGCTGATGGAGTGAGTTGTTAGTTTTGTCTTTCCAGCAACGATGACAGAGAGCACTAAGTGGTTCAGCCTAGTTAGCTAATATTTAGACAAATCCTGTGCTACTAGAAGGTACCTTTTGACA